AAAAAAAAAAAATCCAAATTTGTATTTTAATATGAGTTGAGCAATTGAGAGTTTGAGTTGAGAAGAATGATTTGAAAATTTTTAAGTTGGAAGGTGATTATGTAGTAGGTAAATTATTTTTTTCCAGGCCACTGTGGTTCTGGCCATGGTGGAGGTTTTGATGGAGGTGTAGATGGTGGATAATTTGGTAGAGGTATTCATGTAGTGTTAGATTTTCTAGTCATATAGAAAATTACCATCCTATCATTTTTCAAACGAAGCTTTATTAACAAACTCTGACAAAATATGTTTATTTGTCGTTTCAAAACTTTTTAGATACCAATTTGTCTTTACAGTAAACTGTGGTAGGTGTAAATCCACCGATTTAGTTATTAAAGTAGATGGGGTCTAAACTAAATTAATTAAAATTTGAATTACTGTTAAATTTCAAATAATAAATTGGGCTATATAGCGGTAGCGCCACTCTAAAAGGGGAAAAGCTTAATTATTTATAATTAAATTGTTATTTATTGCATCAAACTGTGAGCCATTAATAAGACTTTCCGGTCCATCCAGCTTTGATCGTCTCATGATCTCACTTCTAAGAAAACTCCCATTAACGGTATCACCAACTACATTGACCAGGCTCATGGATTCATCATCATCTTCAACATCAACAGCAGCAAAAGCCTCCTCACAAATGCATAGACTCCTTATATTAGCCCAACAGTTACGTCATTACAAGCCACCGCCTTCTTGTTTAGATGAATTGGAGGAACAACAAATCCAGGAAACCACTGGCAAGGTTGTCTCTCAACTGGGGTTTGAAGAATCTGTTACTCCAGTTGTGAGGGACCCTCAATGGTTTAGACCCAAAAAAGCTGCTGTTTTGATCTGTCTCTTTGAAGGAGATGCTGGTGATTTGAGGGTCATACTTACAAAGAGGTCTTCAAGATTGTCTACTCACTCTGGTTAGTAATTTTGAACACCATATTGTTTGATGAGACAATTGAGGAAAGGTTTGTTTTCTGGAATTTTCTTTCTCGGTGCTTTTGAAATGATGGATGATTTACCTTCATTGATTAGTTGTGTAAGGCTTAGTTGAATGCCGGGGTTTTGTTTGTTTTCCTGGAAAATTATGGAATTTAGAAGGAAAATAGAACTTTTGATCAGTGGCTTTGATGGCTTTGTAGGATGGAAAGAACTTAAATTTTGAGTGTTCTATGTTGATTAAAGGAGGGGAGTGGTAAATTGGATTTACTTGAGTACTATGCTCGTATATGGCCCAGTTGGAAAAGTAGAAAATTTTGAGTGAAAGCTTCACCTCTACTGAGTTAAAGGGGCTCAATTGAGTGGACTTAAGTTTTTGCTTTTATTAATTGCATTTGGTATCAGCTTATATTTGAGATTGCAATTTCATTTTTTTTCCCTTTGTCTTTTGGCAAACAATTGGAGATTTATTGACTGATGACAATCATGGAATGAGAGTTTTGGAGATCGGCTATTTGACTCAGTTGATGTGTTTGGCTTCAGGGGAAGTATCATTGCCTGGTGGGAAAGCCGAGGAGGCTGATAAAGGTGATGCGGAGACTGCCACAAGGGAAGCTGAGGAGGAGATTGGGTTGGATCCTTCACTTGTGGATGTTGTCACATTTCTTGAACCATTCTTGTCCAAGGTATGGAAGAATTTTTATTCTATGCTCATTACATTTTTCAGTAGTTTTCCTGAAAGAATCTCATGATAGTTTATCTCTTGATTTTGAATTATTTGTCATTTGAATGAGTGCTAACCTGGGTTCAGTTGAATTATGTGATTCTGGAAATTGACCTATAAGTAGTTATTATTTTATGGAATTATGGGTGTCTTGCTATGGTGACTGCAATTGATGTGAACTGGACTATAAACTTGGTAAATCCTCTTGTTGTTTTTTCTTCTTGACTGCAATTTCAACTTCTCTAGTTGAAGGTTTGATGAGTGGAAAAGGGGTGTTGTATTTTCTGTGTTTAATAAATTAGATGGAAGTGACACACTGTAAATAGAGGAGGCTGCAGCAGAGTACACTTCTTTTTCAGAATTATTTTTCCTTCCAATTCCTTGTAAAATCTTTTTGAATTAGTATTATCTACCTAAATAATCTGAGATTGGTGCTGTGAGTCGAAAACAGAATTGTATTTTCTCCTGTTTTTCTGTTTTCCCTAAATTTTCATCATAGTAGAAATGGTATCAAAAATTGCAGGTTTGGGCATCTATATCTTGAATGTGTGCACCTTGAAAATAGTGTAATGTGTGAACTTTTCTAAGAGTTCTATATAATACTTATGATGTATGGTTTGAAGTGTTGTCGTGGATGTGGGGTCTCAGTTTATATATATGAGAATAAAAGATGGGATCTTGGAAGAATATGGTGTTCTATAGAGCTGTATATGTTGCTAAAAGCTTTCAAAATTGAGTATTTTGATTACAAACCCACAGACACAGCTCAGCTTACTTCCCAAATTTTAAATTGCTCAATTACTTCCTCTGCCTGCCTCGAATTCTTTAATAATTGAATCATTAGGTCTCTTATATTCATGACTTCATTCTAAAATTTAAAATTTGTCTACTTTGTAATCTTAATTTACATACTTAAATTCTCCTGAATTTTGCTTGGTACTGTAGTTACTGGTATGTAAAAATGAAAAGTTTGCTGTTTTTATTCTGTGCATTTGGTTGCACATGCATGCATTTACATCTCAAGTTCTCTGGTGTTGCAATTTGTTGGAATTTTTTTTTTTTTTTTTTTTTTTGGCCAGTTCAACTCTATTGTTATCATGACAAATCCATGTATAGGGACTTCCTTGCTTGCATACATTTCACATCTATTCGTTTTTAACTCTCTTCATCAAGATATATATATTGTGAATAAAAGATTGGATTATTAAATTTACAATGGGTACTGAGAGTTAAACGAAACCTAATGACATTCAGGCTATTGTGGAAGAATTTTTGCACCACACTATGAGATGATGCACACATCTTGTTAATGAATGACTTGATATATATGTGCGGGTCACCACAATATTTATTCACTTGTCACAAGCAATGATTGTCAGTTTGATATGCAAAAGATATAGTTGGGTCAATTTTTCTGAATAAAATTCCTTGGGAAACCATTGCATTAATCTGAATGATTCTGCAGAATATCAGAGATATTAAAATGGCTACAACATTTCATGAATGAACAACTATTTAATTTAGCATGTGGTTAATGGTATAGAGTGTAGAAAACTTTTTAATTTAGCATATTTGAAACTTGAGCTGTATTTGGCTTTACTATCGGGGTTTAGTAATCATCATTTTTCTGTGCAGCACCTCCTCAGAGTTATACCTGTTATTGGCATACTTCGGGATAAGAAAGCCTTCAAGCCTATTCCAAATCCTGCTGAAGTAGAAGAAGTATTTGATGCTCCCTTGGAAATGTTTATTAAGGTTTTTCTCTCAACATTATCTACTTTCAGTTCCTTTGTTTATATTACTATTATTTTTTAAGGAATTATATAAGAAATGTTGCTTCAGGATGAAAACCGAAGGGATGAGGAGAGGGAATGGCTGGGAGACAAGTATCTTATTCACCTTTTTGATTATGAATTTGAGAGCAAGAAGTACTTGATATGGGGTTTAACTGCCGCCATTTTGATTAGGGCCGCTTCAGTGGTATTCCAGAAGCCAGCAGCTTTTCTAGAGCAGAACCCCAAGTTCAAGTTTCCTAGAGTAATAGACAAAGACACCTCTATGGAAACGAATTCTGAGACGAAATAGCTTGGGTGTACTCGAGATAAAATTCTGCAATAAATGCATCACGGCCCTCACTTGTTGAACTAGTATAACTTTTAAAGGACAATCTGATTCATGTATCAAAACAAGTAACCACTATATGCATATTTCATTCTCAGATGCCCCTAATCTGAGGCGGCCAAATATATCCGGACTTTAGAAGGCAATTGGAGGATTTCTTCACTAAATAGTTGTTACAACATAATTGTTGGAGCTATTGCTTTCACCTTCCTCAGGTTAGTTCTTGAACGACTTCAAAACTACTTGTTTCATGTGAATCTCATTTGTAAGTTACTCTTAACAGGACCTGCATCTTGGTGCAAAGACCTTGCACAGTTCCTTGTTAACAACATGAATGTTGGTACTGGAAGAGCTGCTTCTCATTGGGTTCGAGCTTCTGTATTTGATCAAAGGAGGCATTGGACTAGAGAACTGTGAGAAGCTGAAGTTTACGTTTTTGTTATAGGAAGTGGATGTTTCTCTGTAATTTTTTGCCAATTGATATGGGCTAATGATGGTTAAACCCTGCTTGATATTATTATTAACACGAGGAAGTCCCCTCTTGGCCAATGGGTATGGAAATTGTGTTGCTGTTCCAGATTTCCTTGTTCTCACTTGTTTCACTTTGATCTTTATTTAAACCTTGATAAATATCAGGTTGAGAGTCCAACTTCATTTTCCCTACTAATATATAATGACACGTGCATTTGAACATTCATATCTAATCCATTCAGGAACCTGAATGATTCCAACACTAATCGTTTTATATTTCGGCTATCTACGGCGGCACCAGGCCCAAGAATTTTCAATGTGACGATCTTTTTTACGAACCAACAAACAAACAAGACTTAACGGTTTTTTCCAACCAATGGTTTTTTTTTTTTTAAAGATTTTTAAAATATTATTTTATTATCTAAATTTTCTGATAGTCCAGATTGTTGAGACTTTTAAAGAAAAGAGATTGATAATCTTTTGATAATAGAATGTTAAATTTTGGTAGTTGAGATTTATTAGAATTTGATTTGAAAAGAGCAATTATGTAAACCTTAATAGTTCAATTGTTGGCATTGATCAGGTTGGTCAAAGCACGGTGGAAAAGTTTCTTTAAACCATTATTTGGGTTAAAAAAAATCGTTTACTCAACAAACAAATCCTATTAAATGCATAAATCCTTACATTTGTGATAGTGTAATAGATAATTGGATACAATTTTCCCCCCATAGTATGTATATATGACAATTTCAATAACTAAACCCAGTTAAGTAAAAATAAAAAACTTCATTCCAATTTCCAATAATATAATATGCGGTAAGTAGCGGCGGCTCGAGTGTTTGAATTGCCGTGACACGAAGCTCATGGATTCCAACAACGCCGGAGACAGATCTGGAAGACTTGAAACCTTAGCCCAACAGCTTCGTGTCTACGAGGAAAAACCAGATGAGAATGAGATCCCAAGGAGTGAAGGAGAAACGACTTCTCAAGACTCAAATTTAAATGCAGTATCTTCAACCAAGAGAGCAGCAGTTCTTATCTGCATATTTGAAGGAAACGATGGCGATCTTCGTGTAATCCTCACCAAACGCTTCTCAACTCTTTCTTCTCACTCTGGTACTAAAACTAAACTTATCTTTTTTTATCTTTAATTGAAAGTTAATGGAAAGACCAAATGGGTGGGTTTTGTTTCAGGTGACGTGGCACTGCCCGGTGGGAAAAGAGAGGAAACCGATGCTGATGACGTAGAAACAGCGTTGAGAGAGGCTAAGGAGGAGATCGGTTTGGACCCTTCTCTTGTTAATGTTGTTACAGTTCTTCATCCCTTTGTTACGAAGGTATATTCTGTTTAGGAGCATGTGTTTTTTCTTCCTAATTCTGAAATTTTTTGGCCCTTTTACATAATTTCAGGTGCACTGCTCAATTTTTTATGTCTTCCAACGAATTGAGTTCAGAGTTTGGAGTCACCTGTCGTAATTGGGAGATAAGTATGAGCAATTCTTGATGAAAAACATGAGTCTAGCTTTTCAAGATCTATACTACCATTTGTTCTTACTGCAAGTCAAATTTATGATATGATGCGAGTATGTCGTAGATTTGATACAAAACTGGCAACATATAATGCCTCGTTGAGAATTATGATTCATTCTTCGGTTAATCAACATTGACGGTTCAATTTTTTTCTAACATACAAGTAACCAATCATCATATATTTTCTAGTGTTTATTAACCGAAGGATGAATCTTACAAACTTTAGCCACTTCTTGCACTTTATCATTGTAAATCAATATATCATATCTGATGTGAATATGGATTCTAGCAATTAAGTTTGTTGTCAGTTCTAAAGCTTTAAAAGCTTCCTTGGGAGTACTTAAGTATCTTTGAACCATTCTATGAACCTGAAAGGTCACAATTCATCTGCAAATATATACTTTTCGCGACTATTTGTAACTTAAGTTTTAATTTAGAAGTGGTCTTATGTGCAGATTGGAATGACAGTAGTTCCTGTCATTGGTATACTTTCTGAAAGGAAAGCTTTCATTCCGGTTCTAAGTACAGATGAAGTAGAAGCAATGTTTGATGCTCCCTTAGAAATGTTTCTCAAGGTTATACACTGTTCCATTTTACACTTGAGCATCTCATAATCTTCTCTTTAGGGGCTTATTTCTCGTGATTGTGACATAGGATGAGAACCGGAGAGAAGTAGAGAAAGAATGGATGGGAGACAAGTATTTACTCCATTTCTTTGACTATGAAGCAGAGGGCAAGGAGTACATGATATGGGCTTTAACCGCTGGAATCTTGATCAAAGTTGCATCAGTTGTGTACCAACGCTTGCCTGCATTTTCTGAGAGGAGGCCTAAATTCTGGAGTAGAAGTTTGTGATAATAAGTTGTAGAATTATAGCATTTCTTCTTAATTGACGGTTGCATTGTCTAATGAATTGTAGAAACAGAACATGGCAAGAATATATACATTCCCTGCCATATCATTTATAATTTATCTTCCTATTGATAGTTTATTGAAATGTTGCTTTAAGATCATAGATGAGATATTTATGTCCAGAAACTAACAGAATGAATAGAAACAATGCAGATTACGGGTTTCACAGTATAGTAATCCATAAAGCATCTGCTCAAGGCATCATTTGTTTGATCAACTACAAAATGTTTGAAGGTAGACAGACTTGATGAATACTAAACTTTATATTGTTAAAATATAAAATATTAAAATAAAACATGGAATTGATAACAAAAACTGCCATCGTAGATGGCTGATGGCAGGATTTATTAAAAAATAACATCAGACAGCAAGGAAGCACCCTTTCTCTGCAACAAAATGCAACTGACCAGGGTTATAAAGCTTCTCAAGTGAAAATGTTACTCCACAAATAAAAGTGCAAAGAGCATAATTTGCATTAATAACAATTCTCCCTCCAATTCATTACAATTTCACAGACCGTATATGTAGTCATATCAACTTTAATGATCACACCAATATTTTCAACTATACTTCCAAAGTTCAATTGTGATCATATCATGAAAAATTGGAGAAAATTGACAAAAATACTATTAGCAGAAAGATCTCCGTAAAAATGATAACAGAAGCAAAGGGAATTCTAAAAACCTCCGTCCTCAGCTAAAAACCTCGTAGAATTTCTCAATGACTAGTAAACCAGAGTCAATTGACTCCAATGGATCCTTGCGAAGGCGATGCCTCAAACAGTTGGGGATGACAGTAGCAATATCCTCAGGAGTAACATTGTCCCTTCCCTTGAGAGACGCAAGAGCTTTTGCTGCTCTGTTAGTCACAATGTCTCCTCTCAATCCATCAACGTTCAACTCTGCACAAACCTTGGAGATTTTCACCTTTAGCTCATGATCAATCTGAACAGAAGAAAGAGTACTCCTAGCTGAGGCAATTTGTTGCTGGAGCTTCTCTTGCTCCGCTATGTAAGAATCGCGGAATTCCTTTGGGTTTCTATCAAACCGAGCTCTCTCCTCCACAATCTTTACCCTGAGCTCAGCCTCCCTTACAGTCCCCACTTGGGCATGCATTCCAAACCGATCAAGCAGCTGTGGCCTAAGCTCCCCCTCTTCAGGATTTCCAGAACCAATGAGAATAAACCTTGCAGGATGTGATATAGATATACCCTCTCTCTCAACTGTGTTCCATCCTGAAGCAGCAGAATCCAAAAGAACATCCACTAGATGGTCATCCAGAAGGTTAACTTCATCAACATAAAGAATTCCTCTGTTTGCTTTAGCAAGAAGGCCAGGCTCAAATGCCTTGACACCCTCAGTTAGGGCTTTTTCAATGTCAATTGTCCCACAGACCCTATCTTCTGTAGCACCCAATGGCAAATCAACCATGTTGATTTTCGTCATTACAATAGAGAGCTCCTTCCCTTTCATAACACTCTCTCTGACTTCATTCCCCATGGACTCTGGATCTTCTGGGTCTGAGTTATATGGATCACCAGAAACTACTTTGATTTCAGGAAGTAAATCTACCAATGACCTAACAGTGGTCGATTTTCCAGTTCCTCTATCACCCATAATCATCACACCACCAATCTTGGGATCGATCACATTTAATATGAGGCATAATTTCATCTCTTCTTGTCCTACTATTGCGGTAAAGGGATACACCGGCCTCTGGCTCTCCATAGCAGCTGCACGCTTCTGGGCCTGAAAACACCATGAACTTCAAAAACTCCGTTCACACAATTTCCAAAAGCTATTCTTAATAATTTTGCCATCTGCATTCTCCCAAAAGCAATACTTTACCGTGGATATAATTTCCCTAATTTCATTTCCCTTTTGTTAAATATTTCAATTTCAATAATTAATAGAGCAAATAATGCTTTCAAAACATTTTGACTGCACTGAATTTTCTTCAATCTTCTTCAAAGCTACAAAATTCTTGAGGGTACAATAAATACTTTAACCAAGTATAAAGCACATTTTCACAGCCAACTAAAGTTTGATCTCAAAATATAACAACTAGAAATATTAAGAGAAAGCAAACCAGTACCTGTTCAACAGAGTTGATTTCGGTAGCAACATTGGTGACAGCAAACTGAGACCTCCCCTTCTTACCTTCATTAATCCCAATTCCTCCACAAAACCTCCTCCCATAATTCAGCCCTGCAAGAAACAACAGTAAAAAGATCAAACACTTTAACACCCTACCGAAAACTTCAAAAAACCCACTAATTAATTACACAAACAAAATAAAAAAAATAAAAAAAAACCAAAAAAATAAAAAAAGAAACTTGCGCACATTTAAACAATAAACATACACTGGGTCAACCTTAACAGAATGTGAACTTAAATTCAGATTCTGAAGAGTAAAAAGTAAAAGATTGAGAAATGTACCGGAGGCTAAGGAGAAAGAGGAGAAGGTAGGCTTAGAGGTTGGATAAGAGAGAGAGCGAGAAGCCAAGATAGCAGTAGAAGAAGTTCCGAGTGTCGACGCCATGTGAATGTTCAAGTGGTGTTTTGGTGGTGGTGGTGGTGGTGGTGGGGGTGGGGGTGTGTGTTTAGAGGTTATCACAGCTTGACATGGCTTCTGATTGGTTTGTTGGGTTCCGGATAAGAGGATAGATTTCAGTCATATCACCTATATACTTCTGTATTTTTGGCCGTCCCTTTCGTCGCATTTTAACTTTACCCCTAAATAAAAATTTCTCTTGTTCTGAAAGAAAAGGGCAATTGAGGATGCTGTTGTTTGATTTTTTTTTAGTAATAATCTCTTAGGAATTTAACTGCCTCGTATTTGGGGCAAATGATTAAAAGGCCATATTACCTTGAATTTAAGTAAAAGGCCATTTAGTTTTTTAGTCTTTACTAAATGGTTTTATTTTTTATTAAGACAAACTAATAATAATTAAACACTAATTATGGCTTAATTAGGATTAATAAAGTTTGTGTAATCTTTTAAAAATTATAATATGTCCTCAAAAACCTGAAATTCTTGTAAACAAACCCAAACATAACATCTTCTTCTTCTTCTTCCTCCCATCATTAACATCTTCTCCGCCACAGATCCTCCTCCTCCACCTTCTCTTGACATTTCATCCAGGTATGTGTATCTCCCCTTTCCATTTTATATTTCGATTTACAAAGATTTAATGATGGATTGGGTATGGGTTATGATTTTGATTTAGCTGTTTAAGTTGTTGACTTATGTTTGATGTAATGCAAGTTGAAAGGAGTGAAATTTGTTGAATATTTTCTTGCATTGTGGATAGCTGGGGGTGGTAGCACCGATTGTAGGTGGAGATGACTGAAAATGTGTTCTGGATATGATGGATCGCTTAAGTGATTTGGTGTATCGCTTAAGTGATCTAGTATGTCTGGTATAATGAAGCAGATCGTAGATCGCTTAAGCGATCAGGTATATGGTAGAAGATTGCTTAAGGGATCTGTTATAAGCCTGGTATATGGCAGTAGATCGCTTAAGCAATCAGGTAAATGGCAGAAGATCGCTTAAGCGATCAGACTTATTTATACCAAATCGCTTAAACGATACAACAGATCGCTCAAGCGACTCTGCAGATACTTTTTAAAAATCTGTCAACCCTTAAGACATCAGTTAATAATTTTTTTTTTCTTGCATTATAGGTACTTGGGCTATTATTAGACATGGGACAAGTTGTTTTGGGTGTTGAATATTTTGGTGAGTGGGTGGAGGAAGAAAGTTGTTAGAAGTGGATTGGGAAGAGCAAAGAAGTTATACTAATTGTTGTGAGCACAGGGGTTAGTTTTGATGAGTTGATTGATGAAATAATTAGAAGAGATGATTTGAGTTGCTCATATAGTGATATAGTTGTAAAATACGTTTTAAGCAAAGTTCCCAAACATTATAAGGTATCTCCTGTTATATTAAAGTCAGATGAAGGTGTGAAGTTATATNGCAAGTTCCGAGTGTCGACGCCATGTGAATGTTCAAGTGGTGTTTTGGTGGTGGTGGTGGTGGTGGTGGGGGTGGGGGTGTGTGTTTAGAGGTTATCACAGCTTGACATGGCTTCTGATTGGTTTGTTGGGTTCCGGATAAGAGGATAGATTTCAGTCATATCACCTATATACTTCTGTATTTTTGGCCGTCCCTTTCGTCGCATTTTAACTTTACCCCTAAATAAAAATTTCTCTTGTTCTGAAAGAAAAGGGCAATTGAGGATGCTGTTGTTTGATTTTTTTTTAGTAATAATCTCTTAGGAATTTAACTGCCTCGTATTTGGGGCAAATGATTAAAAGGCCATATTACCTTGAATTTAAGTAAAAGGCCATTTAGTTTTTTAGTCTTTACTAAATGGTTTTATTTTTTATTAAGACAAACTAATAATAATTAAACACTAATTATGGCTTAATTAGGATTAATAAAGTTTGTGTAATCTTTTAAAAATTATAATATGTCCTCAAAAACCTGAAATTCTTGTAAACAAACCCAAACATAACATCTTCTTCTTCTTCTTCCTCCCATCATTAACATCTTCTCCGCCACAGATCCTCCTCCTCCACCTTCTCTTGACATTTCATCCAGGTATGTGTATCTCCCCTTTCCATTTTATATTTCGATTTACAAAGATTTAATGATGGATTGGGTATGGGTTATGATTTTGATTTAGCTGTTTAAGTTGTTGACTTATGTTTGATGTAATGCAAGTTGAAAGGAGTGAAATTTGTTGAATATTTTCTTGCATTGTGGATAGCTGGGGGTGGTAGCACCGATTGTAGGTGGAGATGACTGAAAATGTGTTCTGGATATGATGGATCGCTTAAGTGATTTGGTGTATCGCTTAAGTGATCTAGTATGTCTGGTATAATGAAGCAGATCGTAGATCGCTTAAGCGATCAGGTATATGGTAGAAGATTGCTTAAGGGATCTGTTATAAGCCTGGTATATGGCAGTAGATCGCTTAAGCAATCAGGTAAATGGCAGAAGATCGCTTAAGCGATCAGACTTATTTATACCAAATCGCTTAAACGATACAACAGATCGCTCAAGCGACTCTGCAGATACTTTTTAAAAATCTGTCAACCCTTAAGACATCAGTTAATAATTTTTTTTTTCTTGCATTATAGGTACTTGGGCTATTATTAGACATGGGACAAGTTGTTTTGGGTGTTGAATATTTTGGTGAGTGGGTGGAGGAAGAAAGTTGTTAGAAGTGGATTGGGAAGAGCAAAGAAGTTATACTAATTGTTGTGAGCACAGGGGTTAGTTTTGATGAGTTGATTGATGAAATAATTAGAAGAGATGATTTGAGTTGCTCATATAGTGATATAGTTGTAAAATACGTTTTAAGCAAAGTTCCCAAACATTATAAGGTATCTCCTGTTATATTAAAGTCAGATGAAGGTGTGAAGTTATATATGATTGATGTGGCCGATAATGGTTCGAGGCCAATTTTAAGGGTTTCTTTTGTAGAACAACCGTTGGAAGTTGATTCAAAGGAAGAGGATAACGAGGAAGTTAGTGGAGAGAATGTTGGTTTTAATTTGAACTACGAGGGCATTGATTTCTTAGTTGAAAAATCAAGAGTAGGCGGTGATTTGGGTGGTGAGGAGGACACTGTAGAAGAGGTTGGTCATGTGCAGCAGAATGAAAATGTTGACGAGGAGGACCTCGTACATGTTCCCGCAGATATAGAGATTCCTTTAAATACAGATTATGTAGAAGGTGTAGTTTGTGAGGAAGAGAACACTATGGTCCTTTATGCAGGTTCAAAGGCGGCAATTGCAGGTAGTAGTGAATCAGCTCATGTTTTTACTGATGGATCGGACTTGCGCGTAGGGAATTATTATTTGACAACAAAGAGGAAGTGGTTAGGAAGCTAAAAATCGTTGCCGTGAGAGGTAATTTTGAGTTCATCACCAAAAAGTCTAATTCATCGGTAGTGACTATTACATGTCGTGACCGAAAGTGCAAGTGGCGGGTTTATTGTAAAAGGTTGGCAGAGTCCGAAAAATTTATTATTAGCACAAATACCCGTGAGCACACATGTGGGTTGGGACATATTTCAAGTGAGCATTGATGTAACAACTGTTGTAAACTAGTAAAATGCTTTCATAATAATACTAGAAAATGGGCCCAAAACTTTTCTTTCTATTATATGAAATAAATCTTTTATACACAAAGAGTATTATTGTACAAAATGCCATTTAAAAAGACAAAAACAGGGGAAACAGTGTAGCTATTGCTCCTCGCTTGCCGACGCCCCTCCGACTGCAACATCACCTAGATCCCGCATCCACAAAGGAAAATGACGGGGTGAGCACGAAATAATGCTCAGTAAGTAAACCCTCTATTTGTCTATCCCCGTAACTATTTTTCTTAATTCCTTCCTCACACTTTCTTTCTATTATTTTCTACTAATGTTATGGCCTCATCTTACCGGAGGTACGGCTGGATGGTGTTCACACAACACCATCTCACTCTTGATGATTGTCGGGTGGAGTTCACACAGCACCAACCCGCTTTTAATGACTACCGAGTGGGGATCACAAAGCTTCTACCCGGTTTTCATAACTATCGGGTAGAGACCACAAAGCACCTACCCATTTCTCATGACTTTTGGGTGACGATCACAAAGCATCAACCCATTTCTAATAACTATCAGGTGATGATCACAAAGCATCTACCCGTTTCTCATGACTTTTGGGTGACGATCACAAAGCATCTACCCGTTTCTCATAACTATCGGGTGACGATCACAAAGCATCAACCCATTTGTAAGAACTATCTCTACTCTAGCACTTCTCATTCTCTCTACCCATAGAGTAGTTACATTCACAAAGTTCTCTACTCAAAAAGCAAATGCATACACAAAGTTTTCTACTCTTTCTTAAATCACTTCTCAATGCACAAATAATACATATGGATGGTTCATCTCTACTAATGCACTTATGAAATGCCAACATGCAATGTTGCAAGAATTAAGGTTCACTACTCATACTCAAACCTCTATTAGGCATTTCATCAAACAACTCAAGTGCATAACAAGATTCTACTATAACAATAATTCTATGTCTTTCTCTAACCATCCAAAATGGGAGAAAACTCCCTCACATGGCCATAAATCCTGCCATAGAATAACACTTCCAAAAAGGATTTTTCAATATCCTTCAATTCCATTTCAAACTACATTCCCAACCCACATCTCACTTCTCATAATTGAAGTGTATGAACAACCACAAGCAATAATAATCTCCATTTAAAACTCAATAACATAGCATATAACATGTATATAATATACATACATAATTGCTATTAAAAAAAACTCTAATCAAGAAAGTTCTCAAATCTCTACTTGGGTTGGGATTTACTTACCTTGTGATGGAGAGATCTCACTAGCTCTTTCTTTCTCTTGGTTTGCTTGATTTTTCTCTACCCTTAGGATGCCTTAGATTGATTTTCTACCCCAAATCACTCCAAAAGCCTTCTAAAAATCCTTGAACAATTGAAAGAGAAATTGAGAAAGGAGAGTGGTGGTGGAGAAGAAGAATGAAGGGTTTGCAATGACTTAATTCCTTTTAATGCAATTTATGCACAAGCATTCCCATTTTGCCCTTACTCTTTCTTGGGAATTTCATCTATA